TTCTATCTAATAGCAGTATTAAAGTTATCCTTGATGGAAAATATTCTCAATTTCTAGTAACTTATGGGGTACAAGATTCAACCCTTGGTCCTGTATTGCTCATCATCTATATTATTAACACTGAAAAACGAGCTAAATATCTTGAATGTCATTGTTTCTTAAGTAATATTTTAAACAATTCAGCGTGATTTGCCAACTCAGAAGTATAAACGAAAGTCCACAGTAAAAAATTTATACCGTGAACATGTGTAACAAATTTTTTATTGTACCTCTGTAGTACACTTCAAATTGAATTTCAGTTTATTATATAATTATATATATTATATATATATATATATATATATATATATATATATATATATATATATATATATATATATATATATATATATATATATTTATATATATATATATATATATATATATATATATATATATATATATATATATATATATATATATATATATATATATATATATATATATATATGTGTAGTGATGCTATTTTGTGCATATACTATAAAGAAAGTGCTCGATAAACTAAGTCAGAGCTATAATATATATATAGTAGAAAATAAAACTACGTGATTTTCACAACTTTAAGTTTCATGCTGTTGCAATCATCAGGTGAAATACAAATATAGTTTGTTCGTTTAAAAAATTATATACAATTGAAACTATACAGAAAAAACCTATACGGAAAAAACTTTTTTTTTATTGTTATGACCGCCTGTATTTAATCTTCAGGTTTGTGGTTGCTCAATAGAAATTTATTTTCGTGACGACACTTGGAGATTAACTCTGTTTTTTTATTATTTTTTATTATCAATAAAAAAACAGAGTTAATCTCCAAGTGTCGTCACGAAAATAAATTTCTATTGAGCAACCACAAACCTGAAGATTAAATACACGCGGTCGTAACAATAAAAAAAAGTTTTTTCCGTATAAGTTTTTTCTGTATAGTTTCAATTGTATATAATTTTTTAAACGAACAAACTATATTTGTATTTCACCTGATGATTGCAACAGCATGAAACTTAAAGTTGTGAAAATCACATAGTTTTATTTTCTACTATATATATATATATATATATATATATATATATATATATATATATATATATATATATATATATATATATATATATATATATATATATATATATATATATATATATATATATATATATATATTTAATTTTGGTAGCTCTAGCTGCATTCATGTTTTTATCTAATATAATTGATGCAGCATTAACTTTGAAAATACAAATTTTGTGCAAAAAAATACATTTCTTATGTTTTACAGTAATTCATTGAAATATAAACCCTGGATATTTCTAAAATGGAGGCTGATAGAGGCAAATGGTTAGCATAATCGAAATCAGCACGCTCAAATTGACTAAGATCAATTATTGTATACCAAGATATCAGCGGAAATTTTTTTTTGTTGTACAGTGTAATCTTCCTGATGAATTCTAAATTGGCTTTTCTTGTGGCTTTTTGCAAAGTTTGCCGATGATGTAACTTTATACTCTTGTCAATATCTTGTGAATGTCTTGTAAATGTCTTGACAAAAAATCATTTTAATTGCTTAGAACAATCGTAAAATCATCACACTTCTTGAACGCTTAGATCAGGCAGGTAGTCTTAAGTTTGATCTCTTCTGAGGCAGTTTAGGCAGTGGATTTTTAACCTAAATAAAAGTTCTTTTAATGCTAACACTTTTTGCAATTCTGTTAATATTTCTATATTGATGAATGACAACACTCTTACCCAGTCCTTTATACTGATTCCTCAACTTTACTTCTTATTAATTAATCATTCAAAGCTTATGATCTATATCTAAAGTTTGGATTAATGCAGAAAAAACTACCTATAGTGAAAAATGTAGTTGTAATGTACATAAGTTAAGAGAATATATGATTCAATATGATGGCCCTTTAGCATAATAAAGAGCAAATAAACTAAAATAAAAACATTTAGATCCCATAGTTCTGAAGTATTTATCATACTATTAAAGAAAATCATAATAAAATATTACAACTTTTATTGACGTTATCTTTGTAATGACTACTTTATGATGTATGTATGTATGTATGTATGTATGTATGTATGTATGTATGTATGTATGTATGTATGTATGTATGTATGTATGTATTAGGGTGTCCCCCCAAAAAAAATTAGTTTGTGCGCTTTTAAAAATTTGGACCTTATGTATATAGGTCATTTATAGGTCCTTATATAGGTATATAGGTTCAGGATCATCACAATCATCCTGCTACTGGTATTATGTAACCCAGTACCACCTGTCCCATGCCCTGCTGCCTTGTAGAGTGTCCTTTTTCATGCAAAGACTAGGAGAAACAAACTCCGACTTAAAAATCCCCTGTTTAGTTTGGTTTCAGTGCACCAAAGAAATTATTGCCTGTCCAACAAAAACAGGAACCAGAAGTCTAGTTTGCCAGTATAGAGCATGTGAAAGATCAATCAATAGTTGTGTTACTTCAGCTGTCACTGGCATCTGGATAAAAGCTGGTTTTATGTGCAACATTATTAATGGAAGATCTGTTAGGTAAATTTTACAAAAATATTTTCATGATATGCTTATCTTATTCCATTTTAATTCCATTTTAGTAACTTCAGCTATGTAATATTTTTCAATAAAAGGATTCTAAAACTCACAGAGAAATATAACAAAATGAAAGGATGGAGTAAACTGAATTTAAGCTGAAGCAAAGAGAACTGAACTCAAAAGAAAGTAAATTTCCAGGTGGAGATTAATACTTTGTTTGATATATCTGTTCCTTTATCAAGATCTACTACTCTACACAGAAAACAACACAACGGATAAAAAAACAAAAAACACACAAAAAAAGATTTATTGAAAATCTTGATAACTATTATTCACAAAAATGATTAAGATTTGTTTTATTATCTTTATTATTTTTAATGTATAATTAAATTGATTTAGAAGAAACACTACAAAAGAACCTTGTTGATGTTTTAAAAGGAAAAAACTCATTGTCCATTTTGACGAGAAACTTGTTAGACAGCTAGAAGAAAAAAATCTGACAATTACCTGTGAGAGAATTGCAGTTAGTGTAACCAGTCCAGATTTGGAATGTAGAGATGATATTTTACTTGGCATAGTGCAGGCAGAAAATTCAATTAGGTCCAAACAGGCTCGTTTAATCCTCAATTTCTTGGAATACTATTATATTGTCAACAATATCATTGGTGCTGCAACACAACTGCATCCAACACTGGAAAATTTGCTGAAGCAGTTGCAGTCCTATCAACTATCCTTAATACTAGTCTTGTCTAGTGCATGTGTCTTCACCATACTATTGAAGTACATAAACATTTGATGACTGCACTGACTGGCATCGAAACCAAGTCTCTCAGAGAAGAGATTTTTGTGTGCTTACAGAAGGCTTGGTCAAAGATTATTGACAAGATAGACACATCATCTTGTTAAGTTTAACTGGAGTTCTTTAGAGCTTAGATCACCTATCTATAATGTAGCCAAGGCAGCATTAAAGTTTGGGGAAACTGCACTATATGAAAATATTTTTAAGAGAGGAGACTACAAAAATCTTTGTCAGTTATATGTTTACTACTTTGGTGAACAAGTTCCTGCTATAAAATTTAATCAGCCATGATTAAATTTTATAGCAAATTTTATATTTTTTTTACAATCAAATGACAAATGACATCTCAAACATCATAAATGAAAAGGAGAAGAAGATAGTTCAGACAGCTTCTTTATTTATATCTCTGAGATACTGTCCTTGGTTATTCAAAAACTCTCTGAGTATTTAACCACCAGTTAATGATTTAGCAGCTTTTAAAGACATGTTTGATTTAAGTAAAGAATATTCAGAGTTTTCTCAATCAATACTGAAAAGCATGCAAAATCATACCTGGTATTTGAGTCAGCAGCTTGTTCTAATGACTTTAGTTGATGATGATGTTGAGAAAGATGAAAAGAATACACTCCAAAAAATTTATACAGTTTTCAGGTCCTAAAGAGTTAACAAAGGATAAACCTAAAATGCTTGTAATCACATTTTCTACATCACTGTCAGGTTTAGCAGGTAATCAGAGCTGGATTATGTTTTGCCTAGCCCTGGTTACCATTAGCCATTACCTAGGTTACCCATGAACAGGTTGAGTTAGCTGCACAAGAGGACTTGTGGATCAATAACTTTATTATGTCGAAATGAAGACATAAAGCAGAATGTGATTTTGGTTGCAAAAAACTCAAGAAAAACATTGAATACAAATCTGACTAAAAACCCAGCTAAATTAGATTTATATCGTGATATTTGTTCAACCTTTCTTTCCATGATTCTTAAACATATGCAACATATATTTCACATGTTTTTATTATAATAAATGTTTAACATAATTTTTTTTAATATTTACTAGCTTTATTTAAAAAAAAGAAAAAAATCTAAAAATTTTTAAAATTTGAAATTTTACAACAAGCACTTCTAACTGTTTAAATTAAAAAATTCTGATATATTTGGTCATATTATACCTAGTAACCAAGTTCTAGATAGCACACATCTTTTTTTTCCGAAAAAAAAATATTTTTTTGGGACATTCTAATATGTATGTATGTATGTATGTATGTATGTATGTATGTATGTATGTATGTATGTATGTATGTACGTATGTATGTATGTATGTATGTATGTATGTATGTATGTATGTATGTATGTATGTATGTATGTATGTATGTATGTATGTATGTATGTATGTATGTATGTATGTATGTATGTATTTATGTATGTATGAATGTATGTATGTATGTATGTATGTATGTATGTATGTATGTATGTATGTATGTATGTATGTATGTATGTATGTATGTATGTATGTATGTATGTATGTATGTATGTATGTATGTATGTATGTATGTATGTATGTATGCACATGTAACATACAATAATTCACATGTAACAAAGATGAAACCTCTGTAAAAAAAATTTTACCTTTGAAATCTCAAAAAGTTCACTACACGGATTCAATATGTTATCAAGTAGTTCTTTCAGCAATGATTTAATTTCATGTTGAACATCAGAAACATTAAAATCACCAGAATGAAGATCATTGATTAAAACTTCACTATTTTCACTATTAACAGTAGCAGTTTTAAAATTGTTCTCGATTGGGCTAATTGGGAACTTAGAGCTTACATATGAAAATTTACCTTCAATTATTTTTGTTTTAAAATCTAATGGTTCAATATTAAAATCTGATTCATTGTGAGTTGATGCAGATTCAATTTGGGAACCTGATAGAGATTTATAATGAGATTCTAATGAAGATTCAATGCAAGAAACATCCGTGTAAGAGCACGGTAAAGAATCAATGTGAGAACCTGTTGAGATTTTTACGTTAGGACACAATATAGATTCTATTTGAGAAATTGATGGAGATTCAACAAACTGTAAGCAAATCTTTTCACATTGAAATTCTTGGTCTTTTGTTTTGTTTTGATCAGCATCATCACACACGGCATTTGAAAGAATGTTGATATTTCCTAAACGATTATTAAGATTTGATTTATTTAAAATATTCTTTCTCTATCTATCTTATTTCCCTAAAAAAACAATCTACTATTATATATTATATATTATTTAATTCAAATTTAACCAAATACACAACTATCACAATCTAATTTAATATATTAATTATTTTTCAAAAAAAAATCTTTTTAATAATTTTTTTCTTTTGTCATTTTTAAATAATAATGACTTTAAACATTTTTTATAATAAAACAAAAAGTATTGCACTAATCTTACCAGATCCTTTAGAAGTATTTATTTGAAAATCAATTTTAGATTGAAAAAAGTATTCATGATCCTGATAAGGGCAGGGAGTCATACTTCGACAGACTTCATCTGGCTTGATGCTTGCTTCAAGTTGTTTTGTAACAAGTGTAATAATATCATCAAGGGTTTGCTTGACATCAAACTGAACAATTCGAAGATAACTTTCATGTATTCTCTCTAATGTATCAGCATCAATAGAGTTGTCATTAAGAGTAAGCAAACTTGATGTAATTTCATCTTCAGTTAAAAAAATATCCTCACTTACAAAAACATCTTCAGTTTGGCTTTTATAGTCATAATCTGGATCATAGAGAAAGTTTTTGTAAGTAGCTAAAATTTTTTCATTCTCACTTTCATTAAACAGCCCTGACAGGTTAGTAAAATCAGTGTCAGAATTGAAGTCTGAAGTTTTAGAAAAATTACTGCTATCAATGCTAAATGAATTTATTAAATTTGGCTCTATTTGCATGTTGTACAACTCGTGTTCATACACATAATATTTTTTCCTTTTTTTCACAGGTTGGTCACTTGGTTTTTTAGATGTTTTTTTATGATTTAACTTACGCTTCTTTGATTTCTTTGACCGTTTGTTTGTTATGACTAAATTGTCTGCTTCAGAGCTACCATTTATACTGACTGTTTCATTTGCCATAGTTGTTTTAACACGTACTTTTACCTTCAATGCATCCAACTGTTCAATGGTAATATAATCTTTCCTAGAATCTGATGAGCTATGGACATTTTTGTGTGTCTTAGATAAATTTTTACGTTGATTTCTTACTAACATTCTGGCTGTTCTTTCAGCACTAATAATTTGGGACTTAATTCTATCTTTTTCTTCCTCTTTATTATCAAACCCTTTAATTGTATCAACAAATGGATCACAATTTTTAGAATTAGTAACTTTCTTTGATGTTTGAGACTCAAACACATTTTCTGGAATTACTTTGCTAACATCCAAAATACTCTGTTTATTCAGTGACAACTCACTTAATGGTAAATCAAGATCACTAATTTCTTGTTTGTCATTCTTTACATGATTTGTGTTTACACTATAAACTGATTCAATTTGATCATAAAATGTTTTGCTTACATCACTGCTAGATCTACTATTTGAAACTGCATCAGAAGGAGAGGAAACAGTAGAGTTTATATTTTCATTTTCATGTGATACTTGAACATTAGGAATTCGCTCGTTGTTAATTTTAAAATTATTTACAGATTTCAGCTGATTTTCCAGATTCAATTTTTTAATTCTCATGACAACTTCTTTTGCTTTGATTATTTTTGAAGCTCCGTTTGGCTTTTTGTTATTTGCTTCATTTTGAGAAAGAACTTCAGATCCTGACAAAGGCCTTATATCTAAATTTTTCTTCTTAGATTTAGGAAATTTTTTTGGATGTTTTGGCATTAGGTTGTTCTTTATAATAGTGTCAGAAGCTTTTTCATAACTTAAGCTGTGTTGACTCATTAAATGAAAACAATAATCTTGAATAGTAACAAAATGTGTATCATGTAATTTAGGACACAGTACACAAACAAATGTTTTTTTGTCATTTGGTGTGTTGAAATTTTTAATTTGCTCAAGATTCGATAATTTTTCATGAACAAGTAAATGTTTAGTGAGTGAACTAATGGTTGTAAAACAATCCTCACATTTTTTACATTGATAAGTTACACCTTTTTGGAAAACAGATTGATTTGAATCAGGAGATTGAATAAGAGTAAATAAATCATTAGAAGGATGGGTAAATGAAACTTTAGCATCATCATTATTGTTATCTTCTTTTGAAACCGAAACAAATGGTTTTAGAGTTTCGTTATTCTTAATTGCATGTAAGGTTTGATTATGCTTTAAAACCTCTTTTTTTTTTAAATGCTTGGCTTTCTTTTCTGCATCCGCTAATCTCCTCTGCTTCTCTGCAGCTTCTTTTGCAGCTTTATGCCTTGCCTCTCTTTTTCTAAGGTATTCGTAGTAAGCTTTCTTTTTAAGAGTTGCTTTTGACCTTCGTTTTCCCAATACAAGAGGTTCAACTTCTGGATCAAACTCTGTATTACTAATCTTTTGAGATTCTTCCTTATTTATTTTTTCTGAATCAATAGACACTGCTGATGTTTCTGTAACAGAATTAGGTTTACCAATAGCATTTGGCTTACACAATAGCTCTGTGACATGACCTTTGGTCTTGATTACAAGTTTTAAATTTGCTTTTTCTGGGACCTTTTTACAGAAATCAGAATGATTACTTCCTTCTTCAGAAAGCAATTTACATTTAACAGATTTGTTATTTATTAAGCTTTTTTGATTAAATTCAGAAGTTGTGTCAATATGACTTTTCTTATCATTTTTATTATATTCTGCTGTGGTATTTGTTAAATCATCTTTATTGGATTCTGTTGGTTTAGTTGTTAAAATTTGTTGGTTTATTTTAGCCGTTTTATCAACTTTTTTTGAACTTTTTTTGATATTTTTACTAGGTTCTATGATATTAGTTGTTAAGTTGTCTTGGTTTGTTTTTAATTCTAAAACTGTATCAATTTTATTGATATTGCTTTTGCTTCCATTAGCAAAACTTTTTGCCATATCTTTTTTATTTATTATTTCTTTAACTTGAGTTTTTAAAAATGAACATAAATTAACAGGCTTATCAATTTTACCAGCTGTAAGTAAAGGAATATCTGTTTTTACTCTCTTCTTAGCTGGAAGCATTTCTGATTGGTCAGTTACTAATGATTTCTTTTTGTTTAAAGTTGGTATATCTAGGGGATTCAATTCTTTGTCTTTTAAAAGTGAGCTTTTTTCATTATTTACAGTTTCTTTAGCATCATCTTTTTTTTGGTGCAACTGCAAGACTAACTTTACTACTTTATCGCCTTTCTGACTCGGGTTTTCTAATTTATCATCAGCTTTTTGTTGATTGGGTAATGCTTGATCAATTTTTTCATCAGCTTTTTGTTGGTGGGGTTGTGTTACTTTCTCTACTTTTGCATCGTCTTTCTGTTGCTGGAGCTGTAAAATTAACTTTACTATATCATAACCTTTATCATGGTTGAGTTGTGTTGTCTTTTCTATTTTTTCATCTGCTTTCTGTTTGTGTTGCTGAGGTATTTTCTCTACTTTTGAAAAATCTTTCTGTTGGGGTGGTTGTTTTGTTTTCTCTATTTTTGAATTATCTTTCTGCTGGAGTGGTTGCTGTGTTTTCTCTATTTTTGAATTATCTTTTTGCTGGAGTGGTTGTTTTGTTTTCTCTATTTTTGCATTATCCTTTTGCTGTTGCAGCTGTAAGATTAATTTCACTACATCTTCACCTTTTTGTTGGTGCTGTTGAGAGCCTTTTTCGGCTTTTACATCTGCTTTCTGTTGAAAGAGCATTTTTTTGTCTCCTTTTACTTGATTTGGAAATTTTTTTTCAACCTTCGCAGCACCTTTTTGTTGCTGCATTACTTTCACTATATTATTTTTATTTTTACCCAACTGGGATGTTTTCTCTATTTTGGGATTAACAGGAACTGACATTGTTTCAACTGATTTTGCTAGGACAAGAGGTTTCGTGTATTTTGTTTTTTGTTGCATATTCGTTTTTTTTGCTTCTGATGTATCCATTGTTGTAACTTGTGTTTCGCTAGCTTTTGTTGTTGATACAAATGGTGACACATTATTTGCAACATCAGGTTCAATTTTTAAAACACTCTCACTCTTTTCTGATAGTGATTTATTATTATTAAAAAGTTGCATTTCTGTTATAGATTGCTTGATTTTACTTGAATTTTTGGCTTGTTGCAATGTAACTGTAGCTGATGGTGTATCTGCTCTGATACTGTTAAATGCAAACTGTTCAACAACCTTATTATTATTTTTTAACAATGTATCAGATTTATTTTCAGGCAAATATTGAAGAGATTGTACCTTATTTAAAATGGGAGATGACTGAGTGTCTTTGTCATGAGTGTCCTTATCATCTTTATTATTATCTATAATGTCGTGGCCAGTTATGCTTTTCATAAATTCCAGGTATTCATCTTCAATATGTGTGTTTTCTTTTTTTTCATCAGAAAAATCAGTGCTATTGGTACAAAATGTCTCTTTAGATGAATCAATCTTAGATGGTTCAGGTATTTTATTAACTGTTAAGAGTTTTTCATTTAAAGCTAATTTTACAGGCGGTGTTTGATCTGTGTTAAAACTGTTTGTAATTGATTGTGATTGACTTTTCAGAAGTCGATTATCATTTAGTGACATTGATGATGACTTTGTAGGCTCATTGAAATTCCATTGATTGCGACGGCTATGATAATCTGAAAGTGAAAGCTTACTCGGTTTTTCATTTGATGAAACTAAGGAATTTTTCGTGAGGTTTATCGAAGAACTAGATTTATTTTCTGATGGAGCAGATGGTTTTGAATAAAAAGCTGAAGGCTTGGACAAAGATTTTACTGAATGTGTTGCAGATTGTCCATCAAAATCTATATTTAATGCAGAAAGATTATTTTCTGAACCTGAAAACTTTTTCTGCAGAGTACTATCGACAGCGTTCTTTAAGAAAATTAACTCTTCTACATCTGTGAATTGAATTTTATTAATCATGCTGCTGTCATATCCAGATGGCAAGCAAGATGGCTGATTTTGAGAATTTAATTGATCTGTTTTTAGTTTTAAACTTTTCAGATAAACCTCTGAAGCAGGTGGAAAAGATTGAGGTGGAGAACTTAATTTATCTGTTTTTTGTTTTAAATTTCTCAGGTATATTTCTGATGCAGGAGGTGAGAATTGAGATTTATTACACGGAGAAACCAATGAAGCAAATAAATTAGATTGACTTTTAAAGTCAGAAGAAAACACATTACTGGGTGAAACAACATGGTTTAAGCTTGGCCCAAATGAGGCAAAAGGTAAAACAGTTTGGTTAGAATCTGCTGTGAGTGGACTTATTGGTGAAATTAACTGAGGATTTATTCCCATTACAGGTATATTTGTTGCAGTGTTTAATTGGTTAAGCATATAAAGAGTGCTGATGTTTTGAGCAAGAATTGCATTGTTTTTTTTATACTGCATAAGTAACATTTTTTGTTGAACTAAATCCTCATTTTTTTGTGAATCATATTTTTCTTTAGTTGAATGATAAAAAGGTTTCTGTTGACTATGAGTACTGCTATTTGAATCCTCTGTAACATTTCCCTGTAGTAATATGGACTCAGAAACACTACCTTTTTTAGTAAGAATATTTATTTCTGGTCCTTCTGTTCTTGTTGTATTTCTTGAAGATATGGATTTTTTTTGCAAATCTTGAAAGTGCAGATTATAATTTATATTTTCTTCATAAAACTTTTGATGTGATAATTTTCTAGAGTCTGGAAAAGAGGTTGGCGAAGTTTTATGCGTTATTATCATACTTTCATTCTTAATTTTTGAGTATTTCTCATTTTCTGATTGAGATGAAAAATTATAATGATTTGTGTCAAATACTGTATGTCTGAGACTTGATCTTCCTTTATGGCTATTCTTGGGTGAACTAGGGCTTATATTAGAGGATTGATGACTATATTGGTAACTATCATTTAATTTTCTATCAGGAATATTTATAACTCTACTATCTATTTTTTCACAGTTTACTTCGTTCTTGTAGTCCTTTGAGACATCAGAATAACGACTCGTACCTGATGTACCAATTGATTCTAAAACAGCAGCAAAAAAACAATAATGATACAACAAATATACAAATAATTATTTTAATAAATCTTTATTAAAATTTTAAAAAATAACAAAACAATTTTTAAAGTGCTATAAATGCTATTTGTTATGTCTACTTTTTATTTTTTTGCCAGCTAACGTAAAAAGTAATAAAAATGTTTTCTTTTTCTACTAGAAAATTAATTATGCAAAAATGATGAAATTAGGTAAATTTTATGCGTAGTTTACATGATGATCCCTAATAACACAATTCATAATATTATATAACAACAAATTAAAAACTAAAAAAAAAAAACTAACACAAAAAATTCACACACAAAAAAAACTAAAAGCAAACCCTTAGTCAGGCTGTAATCTTTTTCAAGTTTCTCCACCTAAAAAAAATTAAAGTCAAGAAGTCTAAACTCTTAAATTTATCGGAAAATATGTAGCAATGTGTAAATGGGACATAAAACATGCAAATTTAAAACTTTAGAATTTTAAATTTATAGAAGTTGCAGCAATTGTATATTTCAAAATTTTTTAAATTGTAAAAAGAAAAAGTCATAACTTTTATATACATTAATGTTTTTTATTTAGATGTTCTTTAAAAACTACATTAAAACTTGATGCAAATGACAGTTGAAATTTAAATTAGATGATGTAAATGTAAATGAAAATAAAATGAAATGAAATAATTTGTGTCATAAATTGATGAACTTTAGCTCGAAAGTAATGAAAATGGGTTTTATTGTGAATAATTTTTAAAAAAGGTCACCCGCAACTCAAAATTTTAAAATGATTTATAAGTAGTATTTGCAGACATTATGACTTTATAAAGCCTAGAATTTTCTTGAACCTTTTTTTTTTATTAAATTTATTTTCTTTAACCTTGAGAAACTTTCTTGAATTTTCTGGACTTTTCTGGACGTTTTTTAAAATCTATAAAACTTTCTAGAATTTTCTTAAGTCTTCTAGAAGTTTATGGAAATTAATGAGATTTAGACTATATAAGCTGCCTGATTGAGCAACGCTAATAATTATAAATGAATCTGTATTCACCAGATAGTAGTCAAATAATATAGAAGTACAATAGAACTTACATTTATTATTATATCTCCCTTTCAGAAATATATTTAAGTATTATCTTTAATCATAATATCCTATTAGAAAAGTGCTTCAGCTACTGAAAGAAACAAGACAATTTGGATAAAGAATCGTACAATTTTATAGGTCACATAAGAAAAGAATAACAATAATATAAAATAATAGAATACCACTCAAAATTTAAACTGCTGGTTACTACATCACAGTCCTTGTTAACTGTTGGTTGCTATCACAGTCCTTGTTAACTGTTAGTTGCTATCACAGTCCTTGTTAACTGTTGGTTGCTATCACAGTCCTTGTTAAGCGTTATGCTATTCACATTTTATGTATGAAATGGCAATTTTATCTACTCATTAAGTTATTTATGTTCCGCCAAAACATTTTTCTAATAGGTAATATAAATAGCCTTTTTAAAACAGTTTATGTAGAAAACATTAGGCTGTAACTGGTTTAAAATATATTTTCACCACAACTGTGAAATATTTTTTTTTAGATAAAAAAAAATAACAGATAGTTAAATAATTTTACAATTTTTTTCTTTTTAAAATTTTTTCATCCTGTTACAAAAGTGCTAATATACAGAAGTTTTACAATTATAAGTGCTTAACACATTTATAATTGTATATAAATGCATTGCTAGATAAACTATAATCAAGCTTGTATGCAAAATTTTAGATTTTTTTAGTAAACTTTATATAACAAATTTATAAAAAGATGATTTTTTTTTTAATTTAAAATCCCCCCCCCCTCATTAAAAAAAAAACTAAATTGTAGGAAGGCAAACATAAGACGATAATGTTGTGTGTTATAAATGTTTAAATAAGTATAAGCTTTTTAAATTTTGTTAATAATATTTTTTATAACAATATTTAAAGATATTTTATAAAGACAGAGACTTAAAATGATTTTTAATATGGTTTCAAATTAAATTTAATTATACATAATAATTTATTTGTGGTACTTTATTAAAATTTTAATAAATAACAAAACAATTTTTAAAGAGTTATAAATGTTATTCGTTATACATAATAATTTATTTGTGGCACTTTAAAATACTTTTAACTGACATAATTTAATATTTAATGATGTAAATATGTATATTGAGTAAAGTTACATTTAATTTTGTAACTCTTTTCCGCTATGCAATAAAATCTCATAACAAGGCCTGCTATCTGTTCCTGGGAGAATCCATCAAAGGGAGACAAGAACACATTTTTTTTTTTTAAATAATCTTTGCTTCCAACAAGGCTGCAAGCAACCACTAATTAGTGTTGGAAGTTACTGGAAGAGAAAAGATGAAGATTGTAGAGCAAGATAGCGATTGACAGACGACTTAAAAGATTGCAAATTATATGAATCAGGAAAGCAAGATGAAGGAAGCGAATTCTAAAGAACTGATGTTCGAGGAAAAAAACTAGACGAATAATAGTTTTTGGGGCACTTAGGAACAGTAACAGAAAAAGGATGAGACTTAATTGAATGACGAGTAACACGAGAATAAATTTTAGTAGATGGCACTAGAGACGCTAGCTCCTTTGAGCAGTGTCCATTATAGTATTTGTAGAAAAGAGAAAGAGAAGCAACATTACGACGATGTGACAGAGGTTGGAGGTTGGCTGCAAGAGCAGGTCGAACTATGTTTACAATGCGTTTTAGCACCTTGTCTGAAAGAGAAAGAGCATCATTAGAAAATCCGCCCCAAATATGGCAACAGAATTCCATACAAGGCCGGATTTGAGATTTAGAGATGGAGAATAGAATCCAGAGTAAGAAAGTGACAAGCTCGATAAAGAGAAACAACTTTAGCAGATGCTAATTTTGCAATGGATATGATATAAGGTTTCCAAGAAAGATCAGAAGTAAGAGTTAATCCTAGAAGATGAAGAGTAGGGGACTCATCGAGTAAATTACGGTTCATATATATAGGAAGGTCTAAATTATTGCGAAAACAATTAACCGAAAAAAATTGAGTTTTATCTGAATTAAAGTTCACCAACCACTGTGAGCCCATGCTGTAGCGGAAATGAGATCCTTTTCAAACTCAGATGCCCCCTGCAAGCAATCAGAGAGAGTTGGCTTCTTATCGTGACAAGAATAAATGGTAGTATCATCAGCGAACAATGCCACCTTAGATGTGAGAATATCTGGAAGATCATTAATGTAAATTAAAAAGAGCATAGGGCCAAGGACTAAACCTTGGGGAACCCCTGAGGTTACAGAATAAGAAGAAGAGTGCTGCCCATCAAGGACAACTTTTATACTACGATTGGAAAAAAAGGATTCAATAATCTTAAAGATGTTTCCAGATACACCGTAAGAAGAAAGCTTATGGAGGAGACCAGCATGCCAAACTTTATCAAACGCTTTAGAAATGTCAAGAGCAATGGCCTTAACCTCTCCACCTTTATTTAATGCGCGATAAAACCTATCGGTTATTACTGATAGCAAATCAGCTGTAGAACGAGAAGATCGAAATCCATATTGATGATCAGAAAGTAGGTTATGAGATTCGAGATGAGAGATTAAGTGTTTGTTAATTAAAGATTCAAAAACCTTGCTTATGATAGAAAGAAGACTAATGGGACGGTAGTTAGACGAATCAGAACGCTCTCCAGAATTTTTAAAAACAGAGATAACAGATGCTGCTTTCCAGCAGGCTGGAAAACAAGACTCTGATAAGCACTTGTTAAATAGTTTTGAAAGGATAGATAACAGCTCCGGAGAACACTTCTGCAAGACTATAACAGGTATGTTGTCCAGGCCGCAAGCTGTAGAAGAGTCTAAGCGGGAAATCACTTTAGATACAGAAGCTGGAGTGATACGAATGTCGAGCAATGGATCAACCTGTTTGACGGCTATATCAGGTAGAACGCAACTAGTGGCATCAAGAGATGATATTGATGAAAAGTTCTTGGGAAACAATTCAGCTTCGTCTTTAGGTGAGGTGACTAAGTCTGAACCATACAAAAGAGGTGGAATTACAGACTTGCCCTTATTATTGATACTATTAAAGATTCTCCAGAAGTCACGAGAGCCTAATTTTTGTGATGAAATACAAGATTTCATGATCTGAGAATAGCTAGCTTTGGCGTTAGACAAAACCTTTTTACAATGGTTCCTAGCAGTAATAAACAGACGTCTGTTTTCTGGAGAATTGTTTTGCTGATAGATATGAAAGTAATGGTTTCGATTGGCAATTGCAGCAGCACAATGTGAGGAAAATCATGGAGAAGAGTGAGGCTTGACCTGGAATCGTCGAAAGGGAATAAAGGATTCCATGCCAGCCTGAATCCACGAAGTTATGTAAGAAGCACATTTGTCAACAGAGACGAAAGATTTCTACCCAGGGGCCATCACAAAGAAAATCACGGAAAGAGTCCAAGTCAGCTTTAAGGTAGTTGTAAGATGTACGATGATAGGGGGATTCTGATGGTAAAGAAGAATGAGATAATAGTTTTAGAGAGATCAAACCATGATCAGAAGCACCTAAGGGTGAGTGTGGAGAAACTGAGCACTGACTAGGATCAGAAACAAGACATAAGTCGAGTAGAGAAGGTAAATGATTCGGGTTGTCTGGAAAGCGAGTTGGAAAGTTTACTATTTGAGTTAGGGATTGAGAAAGACAAAAGTTGTGGGCCTTAATGCCTGCAGAGTCACTGACACAAGAGCCAAGCCATTCAGTGTGATGAGCATTAAAATCACCGACAACAACAATATGGATGATGGATAAAGAATGAGGGCTTGGTCAATATAATCAGAAATAACATCAAGAAGAGTGCAGTCTTGAGATGAGGGAGAGCGATATAGAACAAAGAGAAAGGTGATAGAGTGAAGTGGTGCTAAACGAAAGCACATAAAAGAGTAGTCTGTGGATTCAAACCTAGTTTCCCGACAAATGGGAGAATTCTTACAAATGTAAATGATTAGGCCAAGCATGTGACTATTGGAGTCTTTACGAATTAAAGCAAGATAACCATCAACACCAAGATCACAAGATGAGACAGCTGAACTCAAATTAGTCTCACAAAGAGCAAGTAGGTCTGGTGAACTTTGCAAGAGATAAGACTCAACAGAAGAAAAGTTACTTCGAAGACCACGAATATTGGTGAATGATAGGTTTAGTGAACTTGGTGATGACTATGGTTTTTTGTGTTTTATAGTTTTTGTTGCTTTATTCGTTTTTAAATTTGTTAAAGAACTTGACTCGAAACATAGATAGTACTCAGTACACTGTCTTATAGCATAAGCAATTGCCTTATTTCTACTAATAAACCCTAAGCCGTAACAA